TGAAATTCAAAGAAGAAATACTGGAGAACAGGTCAAGACATATGGGCCTAGGGACAGCATAATTTTGCTTTAATTCTGCAGGATGTTTTACTTACGGGTAGAAGGAGAAAGAGATGAAGTATAGATTTTACAGAGGTTACATTGTATTAAGCAGCATTGCTAAATGACAGAAAATGGATGCTAATAACTCATAAACGCTGTAGAACGAGAACTAACAAGACCACTGAGGTAGTACCATTTCCCAAGGAAGATTTTGAGGCATAAGGAGGGAAAAGAGGGAGTTATTTATGTAATTTGTTATTTCTTCTGAGGAAACCTGAGTTCAGATGCATATTCAAACATTTGGGTTTGCAAGAAGATTTGATTTTGGCTGCTGGGACTAGTGGAAGCAGAAAAGGAGTACTAGAACTGGGATGTTTACAGTGATCATTACCTCTTTGTTACTGTTGGGCATCAGATATATGTGTTTTGCTGATATTAGTTATCTCAAATGAGATAAACAAGGAATATGCATATATTGGCTGGTTTTTCAAGGTAGTATTTGGATAAAATAGCAATTTAATAGAAATGCATTAGAGAATAACATGATACTTCAAATCAGACTATTTTAGAAACAAAAATAATTTTGAATCTATTAATTGATTTTAAAATTGTTATTTTCTAATGAATATTGGAGTGATTTCAAACGTAAAAGGTTGTTCAAGTGTAATGTTTGTAGCAATTTTTATTTTAGGTAAGTATGACAAATTTGATCATTTATTATACTTTTGATAGGCTTTATATATTATACTTTGTTTATATGCATGGACAAAGAACCGTTCTGTGGCTAAATTCTAGAGGACATAACAAATGAGGCACACTACACGACATGGGTTTGAGAAATAAAGAATATTATATAACAGATTATCCAAACTTATAGTGCAAACTGGATAAGCTGGGACACTTCCACTGAGGACTTGCATGTACATTCTACAGAAGTAAGCCATTGTCAATGCACCTACCAACTATCAGGCAAGTTAAAGATCATGATGAATATTATAGTATAGTGGTATAAATCCTTCTGCTGTTTCCATGAGAACATGCAGTAGCATTTACTACCTTCTTTGACATTGATTCCAAAAGGAGTTGCTCCTCTGATTTTAGATCACATTTCTTTTCGTCATTCGGCATATCCACATTGATGTCAACACTTTTTATTTTCCAGTAATACACACATGACCCATAAATGTCTCTTTGTAATTTGTGATTGTATATTTTCTGAAGTCATTCTTATTTTTGTAGTGTATTTCCTCATGTTCCTGTCCTAAAGACACAAACTATAAAACATCAAATCCCCATGCTAGTACAGGCAGGAGGATATAGCTTGATGCCACACTGCATGAATGTATTTGATAACTCATCATATTTACACATGATGGATTATATATTTCTTTACTTTTCTGAGTGTCTCCTCAGAAACAGCTCTGTCCTGGAAGGAAGTACTCTTTTCATTTATACTTGGAATTACTAATTGTATAGTCTATGAAATATATAAGTTATGTATTGAATATTTTGCTTCCCCATTCCACTCAGGTTATATTTGTAGAAAAGAAAGTTCCTGTTTGGGAATATCACAGCAAGAATAATGGCTGGTCGGAAATCTGGAACAGGTAATTTGGCAATACACATTTAATGTCATGCACTGAAGATAGAAGAGAATCGTCCCACCCTGAATAAATCAAAGGGGGCCTTAAAAATGCACTTTCTGATTCAGCAGGCCTGAGATTGTGCATTTCTAGTAAGTTCTCAGGTGATTTTGATGCTGCTGTTCCTTGGCCATGATCTTAGTAACAAGGTTATAGACTTCCCTACATTGAAATCATGTAGAAGAACCGTTGGAAAACAGTCCAAGACATAAGAGACTCAGGGACAAGTATAAATTTGCCGTTATTTCAGAGCACAGTTTCTGTGGAGAGGGCTGAGGAAAGAGAAGAAGTATTAGGAAGTTATAGATGTCAGATGGTTCTGCTACAACCAGAGGGAAGTAGTTATAATAACCCATAAACACTGGAGAATGAGAAGGAAAGTGACTACTGGAGTGAGTAATTGTTTTGGGACAAGAGAGAGGGATTGTGCTGGCAACAGAGGAAAGGAAGGAGTTAGTTAGGTAATTTTGGGGTTTCATGAGGAAACCTGAGCAAGCCTTAATTTCAAATGCATTTGGAAGATTTATATTAATGAGAAGATCTGACTTCTGGGCTGCTCCAATGTCTGTTTGAATCAGAAGGAGGCTAGAATTGGGATAATAAAACCCTGTGTCTCAATATTCCTGTTTATTACTATCAGACATCAGAGATATATTTTTATTAGTTATTCAAATGGGTTAAAATTTAATATAATACATTTAGGCTTTTTTCCAAAGTGCTGACTTTTGTTAACATATTTATTAGTGAAAATTCCTTATGGCTGTATGATATTCCAGAGCAGACTAATTTTAGAGATGAAATAATGAATTTCCATTAATTAACTTGGAAATGGTTATTTTCAATGAACACTGGACTGATATCCAAATGTAAAATTTATTAATATCTAATGCCTGCTGCAATTCCATTTTGTATAAATATGTATAATTTTTGTACTTTTTGATGGGCTTAGTTATCATACCTTGTTGCCATTAGGTGGATGAAGAAACTTCACAAGAACTAGAGAATACAAGAATGTAGGCGGATTATTACACTCATATGAGTATGATAAATACGAATGTTATCTCCCTAGGATTCACCAAACATATATCCAAGCTGATCAATGTAGCACACTCCACCGAAGAGACGCATGCATTATCCAACTGAAGTGTCATTGCACTGTGTACCTTCTGAAGTTATCGGATGTCAAAGAGCATCATGAATGTTTGTAGTATACGGTGTAAAACTCCTTTGATTTCTTGCAGCGAAAGACATGGGATCAGGTACCAATTTGTTTGGACATTGTTTCTCAGATGGCTGAGTTGCTCCTCTGATTTTAGATCACATTTATCCTCATCAATGGTATACCTGGGCTACTTCGATATTGACACGGTTTTATTTAGTTTGTATATATGACATATCACAAATGTTTGAAACTGTAAGGGTATATTTTGTAGTTTGTGTTCTTATTTTTCAGTGTATTTTACTGTGTTCTGGGTCCTTATGCAAAGTAGAAAACATCAGAAGTTTCCATACTAATACAGGTGAAGATACACCTTGATGCTAACACTGCATTATGTATGGATAACTTTATCATATTTCATATATGAGTGATTATATCCCTTTTGCTTTCAGTGTCTTCAGAAAAAAAAAGTCTTGAAGGTGATTAAAATTCATTTATATTTTGAACTAGTAATGTATGAAATATGAAACACATACACTTTATTTATATTGATTATTTTGTTTCAAATTCCATTCAGAAGTGATAAGGAGATATGAAGATTCTGTTTCGAATACAGCCACAGAAATAAAGGATGGACAACAATCTGGGACAGGTAATTTTGCAAAACACATTTAACGTCATGTTCAGTCAAGACAGAAAAGAACTTCTCTTCCCCAAATAAATCAGCGAGGGACTCGTTGATGCTGCACATTCTGATTCAGCAGGCCTGAGATTCTTCATTTGTAGTAAGTTCTCGGGTGATGCTGATGCTGCTGGTCTTGGACATGATCTTCCCAGCCTAAACTAGAGGACACAACAAATGTAGGCACATTATTACATGACATGGGTTTGAGAAATAAAGAATATTATATACTAGGATTATCCAAACCTATATCCAAGCTGATGAAGCTGGGACACTTCCACTGAGGACTTGTGAAGTGTACATTCTACAGAAGTGTCATTGTCATCATGTACCTGCTCAATTATCAGGCAAGTTAAAGATCATGATGAATATTAATAGTATAATGGTATAAATCCTTCTGATGTCTTGCATGAGAAACATGCAATAGTAATTACTACCTTCTTTGACATTGATTCCTGGGTGTATGAGTTGCTCATACTATCAGACATCAGAGATATAGTTTTATTAGTTATTCAAATGAGTTAGAATTTAATATGAATACATTAGCTTTTTTCTAAAGTGCTGGAATTTTTTTGTTAAAATAGCTATTTAGTGAAAATTCTTTATAATAAAGTGATATTCCAGAGCAGACTAATTTTAGAGACAAAAATAATGTGTGAATGCATTAATTGAATCCTAAAATGGTAATTTGCACTGTATATTGGCCTGATTTCAAAATGTATAAGTTCATTAATATCTAATGCCTGGAGCAATTCCATTTTGTATAAGTATGTATAATTTATTATAGTTTTTGATGGGTTTTATATATTATACCTTCTTGCCATTAGTGGATGAAGAAATTTTCTGAAGGCTAAACTAGAGGATACAAGAAATATAGGCGGATTATTACACCACGTGGGTGTGATAAATAATGAATATTATCTACTAAGGTTCATCAAACATATATGCAAACTGATGAATTCATGACACTTCCACTGAAGAGATGTGAAGTGTACATTCAACTTAAGTGTCATTGTAATTGTGGGCCTTCTCAATTGTTGGGCAAGTTAAAGAACATGATGAATATTTTTGTTATAATTGTATAAATCCTTCTGATGTCTTGCATGAAAGTCATGTAGTCACAGTTAGCACCAACTTTTACATATATTTCTAGGGTTACGAGTTGCTCCTCTGATTTGAGATCACATTTCTCCTTGTTAGTCAGCATATCCACATTAATCCTTATTTTTTAGTAATAGATGTGGTGCATAATTTCACTTTTTAACTTGTAACAGTATGTTTTTTGAAGCCTATATTCCTAATTTCTTTAGTGCATTTCTGTCATGTTACTGTCTCAAAGAAACAAACTAGAAAAACATGAAACCCTACACTAATACAGGCAAGAGTATTGAGTTTGATGCTAACACTCCACGAATGTATGGTTGGCCTTACCACATTTACATATGATTGATTATATACTTTTTTTGCTTGTTAGAGTATCCCGAGAATCTGCCCACCTTGAAGGTAATTGCTCTTACATTTGTATTAACTGTATATCCTATACAATATACATCATGTGCTAATCATTTTGTTTTAAAACCATTCAGGCTACAATTGAAAATAAAGATTCTGTTCTGAATACAGCCACCAAAATGAAGGGTGTACAAACATCCACACCAGGTAAACTTTGTAATGCAGATTTAACTGTGGAAAGATGTACATTAATCTATTTGTAATGCTCATAGTCTTTCTATTCTCAATTATTTCACTTTTATATATTATTTCAGGATTTCATCTAAATAATGCAGCCGTTATCATTTTTATTTAGGTTTTCAAAAATGAGATTTGCATACATAAGGAAAATACATTTTTTAAAAATATAAGGTTTTTTGTTGTTGTTTTTGTTGTTGTTGTTAGACAGAGCTTTGTTCTTATTGCCCAGGCTGGAGTGCAATGGCTCAATCTCAGCTCACTGCAACCTCCGCCTTCCTGGTTCAAGTGATTATCCTGCCTCAGGCCCCCAAGTAGCTGGAATTACAGGCATGCACCACCATGCCTGGCTAATTTTGTATTTTTAGTAGAGACAGGGTTTCTCCATGTTGGTCAGGCCAGTCTTGAACTCCTGACCTCAGGTGATTCTCCCACCTCACCCTCCCGTAGTGCTGGGATTACAGGCATGAGCCACCGGGGCGTGGCCTTAAAATACAAGATTTTATTCAGATGTTTCTACTTTTACATTTTGATACTCTGAAGTTTCCAATTTGGAATTTCAATGGTTTTTAGCTATTTAAAGAGATCTATTTTGGTACTCTAAAATATTTGTTTTGCTTTAAAAGTCAGTTCAAATTATGGCTTTTATCTAATGAAATGTTTTGTCTGATAACATATTTGGTTTGTTTTAACTTTTATTGGTTCTGGTCAATTTTGTTACACTTATTATATTAAACCAATCAGATGTTCTGATTAGTACACTGTGTGTTTGTATGTGTGTTACTTTATTTTTTTGTTGTTTTTAATTTTAATGTGTAAATCGTAGATGTTTATGTTTATGGAGTAAATGAGATATTTTGATACAGGCATACAATATGTAATAATGACATCATGGTTAATGGTTTATCCATCACCTCAAGCATTAACCATTTCTTTATGCTTTTAATTTGTACTTCCTCAGTACCGCTAAAATGTACAACAACAAGTTTTTGCTGACTGTAGTCATGTTTATGTTTTATAAAATGCTAGATTTTATTCATTGGGTCTAACTATAGTTTGTACTTATTAAGCATTCTAATTTCCTGCCACACCCACACCCTTCCTAGACTGCAGTAATGGTGATTTTTCTCTTCATCTCCATGAGCCCTATTTTTTAAATTTCTCACACCCACAAAGGAGTGACAACATGTGAAGCCTTTTATTTTTTTTTATTATACTTTAAGTTCTAGGGTACATGTGCACAACGTGCAGTTTTCTTACATATGTATACTTGTGCCATGTTGGTGTGCTGCACCCATCAACTCGTCAGCATCCATCAACTTGTCATTTACATCAAGTATAACTCCCAATGCCATCCCTACCCCCTCCCCCTCCCCATAATAGGCCCCAGTGTGTGATGTTCCCCTTCCCGAGTCCAAGTGATCTCATTGTTCAGTTCCCACCTATGAGTGAGAACATGCGGTGTTTGGTTTTCTGTTCTTGTGATAGTTTGCTGAGAATGATGGTTTCCAGCTGCATCCATGTCCCTACAAAGGACACAAACTCATCCTTTTTTATGGCTGCATAGTATTCCATGGTGTATATGTGCCACATTTTCTTAATCCAGTCTGTCACTGATGGACATTTGGGTTGATTCCAAGTCTTTGCTATTGTGAATAGTGCCACAATAAACATACGTGTGCATGTGTCTTTATAGCAGCATGATTTATAATCCTTTGGGTATATACCCAGTAATGGGATGGCTGGGTCATATGGTATTTCTAGTTCTAGATCCTTGAGGAATCGCCATACTGTTTTCCACAATGGTTGAACCAGTTTACAATCCCACCAACAGTGTAAAAGTGTTCCTATTTCTCCACATCCTCTCCAGCACCTGTTGTTTCCTGACTTTTTAATGATTGCCATTCTAACTGGTGTGAAATGGTATCTCATTGTGGTTTTGATTTGCATTTCTCTGATGGCCAGTGATGATGAGCATTTTTTCATGTGCCTGTTAGCTGTATGCATGTCTTCTTTTGAGAAATGTCTATTCATATCCTTTGTGACTGGATTATTTTACTTGATATAACGTCCTCTGGTTCCATCCATGTCATTGCGAATGAGAGGATCTTATTCTTTCATATGACTGAGCAGTATATATATCACATTTTTAAAACCCATTTGTCTGTTGATGTACATTTAGGTTGATTCCAAATTATGGCTATTGTGAAAAGTGCTGCAATAAACATGTCAGGTCAGATTTCTCTTTTATAATACTGATTTTCTTGCTTTTGAGTGGTTACCTAGCAATGGGATTGCTAGATCATGTAGGTAGTCATATTTTTAATTTTTTGCGGACTCTATACTGTTCTCCATAGTGACTGTACTAATTCACAATGCCACCAATGGTGTACGAGGGTTCCCCTTTCTCCACATCCTCACCAGCATTTCTTAATGCCTGCCATTTGGATAAAAGCCTTTTTAACTGAGGTGAGAAGATACCTCATTGTGGTTTTGATTTGCATTTCTGTGATGACCAGTGATGTTGAGCACCTTTCCATATACCTGTTTGCCATCTGATAGCAGTTTGTAATATAACAGTGTCATTTTGCTATTATTTCTGAGTATGTTTCTAGCCAGAGGGGAAGGAACAAAAATTTAGGAAATAGAAATTATACATATAAGATACTACTGCTAAATAAAGAGGAAAGAAGTGGTGGGAATAATTTGTGAGCGTTACATAGAAGTGTTGATAATAGTTAATCAAATGAAATTTATTTGAACTAAGGAACTTTGACTGATTTTACTAAGAACCCTATTTTAAAATAAGATCACGGTTCCATGAATGTGCCTTAGAGATTAGCATGGTATATCAAATCAAACCAATGTGAGAAACAAAAAGTTATAGCATTTATTCTTTGAATAACAAAACCAATATATTCAGTGAACATTGCACTGATTTTGAAGTACAAAAAGTTCTTAATGTCTGTGGAAATTTTTCATTTTTGACAATTATTTTTCACATTGAAAGCTTATTATATACTTTCTTGTTGTTGTTTTGGATTTTTTTGTTTGTTTGTTTGTTTGTTTGTTTGTTTTTTTGAGATGGAGTCTTGCTCTGTCTCCCAGCCTAGAGTGCAATGTTACAATCTCAGCTCACTGCAACCTCCACCTTCCAGGTTCAAGCGATTCTCCTGCCTCAGCCTCCTGAGTAGTTGGGATTACAGGCACATGACAGCATGCCCGGCTAATTTTTGTATTTTTAGTAGAGATGGGGTTTCACCATATTAGGCTGGTCTCGAACTCCTGACCTTGTGATCCACCCACTTCAGCCTCCTAAAGTGCTAGGATTACAGGTGTGAGCCACCTCACCCAGCCTATACACTATTGTTGATGTGGTTTATATATCTTCTTGTATGAGTGGATTCAGAAACTTCTTGACAGGGCCAAACTGCAGGATACAAGCAATGCAGACATAGCAGTAGCCCACCTATGAATGAAAAAAAAAAGAATAGTTTTATTAATTTTTATTCTACAACTGTCTATCTAAGCTGATTAATTTCAAACAGTTTCTCTGATGAGAAATAAATTGTATATTTATTGGAAGTGTCCTCACAACTTTGTACTCCCTAAATAATAGGAAAAATAGTTGAACATGATAAATGCTTGTAGTATAATGGTATAATTGAATCTGATGTATTGCATTAAAGATAGGCCATAGTATCCTCCCATCAGCTTTGACACTTACTCTCTCAGGCTCATGATGTGCTATTCTTTATAAGGATCATTTTTCTCATTATCAGTCAACATGTTTACATTGGAATAGATACACTCTTCTATTGAGACATGATCTCGCTTTTGAAACCTTAACTACATATTTTATAAAACCTGTATTAAATAAAACCGTTTATCTGAGGAAAGATGGCCAGAGTCAAGGAAGACTTCACGTAGCTAAGTCTTAAATTATGAAAGAAATGTGTCAGAATAGTTGAGGAAAATATTTTAGATATAAAGAAGAGACTGCACGTTGATAAAAGTGTAAACAGTAGCAGTCATTTTGGAAATGATTAATAATGAACAACAGACTCAATGTGCTGTTATAAGGTACTATTGTGAAGTAAAGAACAGTGTGCTATTACTTCATCTGTTTCTATTGGATTTTTACATTTTGTTTTATTTCTGATGGTTTTGTTTATTGATGTTGGGTGGATAAATTTGTGAGTGAATCTTTGACCATGTTTGCATGGCTTGAACCTGGTGACATCCGTGCCTCCCCAAGTAGTTTGCTGAAGTTTTGGAGGATTAAAAGCATTTCTTAAAGAAGTAAATATTATATTAAAGATTAAGCTTCGTTTAAACACTTTTATTTTCTGGTTTTAGAAAGACTATGGATTTTTTTTTTTTTTAAGACGGAGTCTGGCTCTGCCCACCAGGCTGGAGGTGCGGTGGCGAGATCTCGGCTCACTGCAAGCTCCACCTCCCGGTTTCAGCCATTCTCCTGCCTCAGCCTCCCGAGCAGCTGGGACTCCAGGCACCCGCCAGCACGCCCGGCTAATTTTTCGTATTTTTAGTAGAGACGGGGTTTCACCTTTTTAGCCAGGATGGTCTCGATCTCCTCACCTCGTGATCCTCCCGCCTCAGCCTCCCAAAATGTTGGGATTACAGGCATGAGCCACCGCGACCGGCCGACTGTGGCGTTTATCTAACTGTTCTGTGTAGCTCGTTTTAACTAAATATCAATTTTTTTTTAGCAGAGCAAGACTTAGGAATGGCATCAGAGGGAAAGCAAAAGAGGCTTGAAGACTATGAAAATAACCAGCCACGGGTATGTAAAAATTTAAAATCAAATTTCTGGTTTAATCTTGTTTTCCTTGCTTTGGTAATACAGCATATTTGAAATGAATTTACCTTTGGATTAGTCTTTTAGTATCAGTTGATTATAATTTAATATTTCATTTTAAAAACATTTAACTAGTTATAAAACTTAGTGTTGGAATTGATAGTAACGTATATCTAATCTTTACCCTTGGAATTGAGTTAAAAAGTTCCTGATATTGTTTGCACTTCTATTTTTATAGCTTCCTATTATATTAAAGAAGGTAACATCAAATATTGAATTACAATTTTAAGCAATAGAAATTATAAACAATTTAACAGTGATGATAACTGTATTGGATTCAGATTAAAGGAGTAGTTATTGCTAGTGGTTCAAACTTTGCAGGTTTTTTTATTGCCAGTCACTAATACCAAAGTTAAGAATTAATTTTCCCTTTGGATCTCTGACTTCAGTTTCTATATTCGGGTAGAGAATGGGTCATTAAATCAACCCAACTGGCTATCAAGAGAATTATACCTTGCAGAATGGCACCTTTGGTATTAGGGTACAAACAATAACTGCCTAATGTATTTCAGTATAGAAAATCTGTAAATATTATTAAATTTATTAAATCCACTGTCATTAGTAGACCTTAGAACCTAAGCCTATAATCTATATAAGTATATAACACTGTCAATCATATTACAATATATAATTTGCATTAAAATGTAAGAATTTGCTTTTCTTACTGACTGGTGTTGATTTTGGCTCCTAATAATTTAAAGTTTGCCTGATCACTAGTTAGTAATCTTTGGGAAAAGCACTCGAGTGTACACTGTAGGTATAGTGATAAAATCTTTTAAAGTGATGGTGCCTTTATAGTACCACAAGTCATCTCCTAATTCATTTTTGGGAAATTTAACATAATGAATTAGTCAAGTTTAGTCCAAACAAACAGTGACAAATTAAAGTTTCATGGTTTATGTTTTTGCACCTATTTTAGGCTGATGCAAATTATTTTTCACTTCTTAGTTACAATCCAGTGATTTGGGAGTAGGTAAACATAGATTAAAAAGATTAATATTAAACTTTAATTGTTTTTTAATTTTTCTCTTTTTATACTTGATTATTTAAAGATAAAGTTATTTTTAAAACATGTACTCTGACAGAAAAGACATCTGAGAAACAAAACTAGCAAATTTATCTTCCACTTTTGCATGTGCAAAAATTGTCTCAACAACTAGTTGAAAAAGTATTGTGATAGAAATGACCTCTTTATATATGCAGGACTTACTTGTGTGCAAAAGTATGAGAAAATGTGGATCAAACAAGACAAATTAGGGTAAAGAAAACTTTAAAATTCATCACAAATAAAGCAGAGTTTCGGTGAAATTTGTGAAAATTACAAAACTGCTTGTATTGAGGAAGAGCAACTACCTAATAACTCCACAGGAAGAACAAACTTTAGTAAATACCCTCTAATTGGACAAATGATTTACCTGATTGTCAGGAAAGTGATGCATCTGGTATGTCTATCTCTGTAGTAGTCCAGATATTTCCTGAACAAAAATAACCCAGTCTCAAAAATGCCTTTCTATCTCATTCGTACTCTGGGTCTCCAGAATATGCTTGCCAGTCACCCCAGCTTTATTTAAGTGGAAATAAAGTATAGACTGTGAAAATGACAACAAACCAGATACTGAACATGTTTTTAACCCAAACAAGGAAAAATTTTATAATGATACAGAAAGTATGAAGGCAAGAAACCCAGAAGTAGTTATGGTTGAAATAAAAGAACACAAATAGGTTGTTAGGCAAATGACCGAAAAAAAAAAAAAATCCCAAAATACCACTAATTGGAAAGTAAACATCGGACATATGCCTCAATTTAGTGATTCAAAAAGCCTTTTAGATAATGTGACTTACTTGCTCCAAAGAAATGAAGCCTGTGATTTAAGAAAAAAAAAAGATCATGGTGTTTCTGTTGTTACGAACACAACAGTGCAAAACCAATATAGAATGTGTTCCGGAAGCCGTTATATGACAACTGTAGTGCAAGTAAGTATGAAAGCATAAAACTTGAATTAGAAAATGTGCATTATTCTCCACCACATGGTGACAGAACATCAGCCATATGTCTAAAAGTGGAATTAAGTGATATATGCAAAGATTTTAGAATGAGGTAAGCATATTACAAGTAAAGTAGAGTCCCTGGCTTTGGAGAAAGTTCAACTTCAAAAAGACTTAGAGGGTCACTTGCTGCTACTCTGGTTTTTCTCTTCACCAATTATTTGATCCATTTGAATTTTTTACTTATGAAAATCTCTTGTGTAAAATGGGGTTATCTAAATACATAATTGTATGTAGAAACAGATTGTTTTTGCAATTAAGATAATTCAAGCTCAGGAAGACATTTTCTTAATCTTTGTTCCTTAATTAACCCAAGTCTCTCTATCAGTTTTCTGAATGGCATAGGAACTGGGAAACTAATTTTTCCGTAGACCATGTGACCTGCTGAACTAGCGTCAACATAAAGGAAATTTCTTTTTAAAAAAAGTACAGAACAAGCACCTGTGTTTGTGCTCATATAAGCAGATGGGTAATTCCCACTTCTGTACATTTAGTATATGCTATAAATATTCTGGGGACATTTTGAAACAGTGTTGTTTATTTTCTAGGTGAAAAACCAAATACATTCTAGGGATGACCTTGATGACATAATTCAGTCATCTCAAATAGCCTCAGAGGATGACTCGCTTTGCTCCAATTGTAAGAAGGTTATATTACTCATTGATCAACATGAAATGAAGTGTAAAGGTAGGACCAATGCATAAATATAAGGCTTTTTAAATCCTATAGCAATGTATGCACACATTGCTTACCACTGTACCATACAGTACTGATATGTTACAAGAATGTTCATCTCAGAAATATGCCTTATGTCAACATAGAATGAAAACTACTGTGTCTTGTACCCTTTCAGTCAAAGAGCTATAATCATTTCACTGTACTTTTCTCAGTGTGAATGGCAGGCCCAATGTGTTTGTTTACTCTGCTTCTCTTCTATGCCATTACCCATTTACCCATGGTCAAGTTACCATTTCCTCCCACCTGAAATACTGTGATAACCTTATAACTGTCTTTCCTACTATTCTGCCTTCCAAAACCATGACCTGTTCTGCAACCATAATTATATAGTTGTAAAAAATCACATCTGATCATGTTACCTGCTTGCTGAAAACCCAGCTGCCATTTGCCATCTGTATATCTTCTTTGTTGAACTGTCTTTTCAAATCTTTTGCCATTTAGAAAATTAGGTTGATGTTTTCTTACCTGTTGAGTTTTAATAATTCTATATGTATTTGGATACTATTACTTTTTAGCTACTTTTTTTTTTATTATACTTTAAGTTCTAGGGTACATGTGCATAACATGCAGGTTTGTTACATATGTATACTTGTGCCATGTTGGTGTGCTGAACCCATCAACTCGTCAGCACCCATCAGCTCGTCATTTACAAGGGTATTTTTTTTTCAGTTTTTGGGTTGACTTTTCACTTGCTTTGTAGTATCTTTTGAAGAGTAGAAGATTTTAATCGTAATGAAGTCCAACTTAATTGTTTGTTGAATTACAGATTTTGCATTTTTTGCCATATGTAAAAAATGTTTGCCTAGCACAAGGTTACAAAGATTTTTTCCTATGCTTTGTTCTAGAAATTTTATAGATTTGGATCTTACATTGAAATCTATCCTCCATTTTTGAGTTTCCTATTGTATATAGAGTGAGGTGAGGTATGGATTCAAGTTCACTTTTTGGATATGGACAGCCAGTTGTTCTAGCACCACATGTTGAAAGGCTATCGTTTCTCCACTGCATTGCCATGCTGCATTTGTCAAACATAAGCTGGTTGCATATGTGTTATGTATTTCTAGACTCTCTATTGAGTTTTATTAATTTACAGATGCTCCTCAAATTGTGGTAAACCCAGTGTTTGAGTCAAAAGCAATTTAATACTTCAGTAAACCCACTGTAAAGTCAATAAGTCAAACCACCTTAAGTTGAGGATTTTCTGTATTTGACTTTCTTTATGCAGGTGGAACATTGCTAATTTAAATATCCCAAATCTGAAGTGCTCTAAAACCCCACACTTTTTGATTGCCAATATAGACGCCACAGCAGAAAAATTCTACATCTGACCTCATGTATACAGACATTGTTTCATGCCCCAAATTATTAAAAGTATTGTTTAAAATTACCTTCAGTCTTTGTGTATAAGGTAAATATGAAAAATAAATGTGTTTTGTGTTTATACTTGGGTCCTATATCCGAGATACCTCATCATGTATGTGAAAATATTCCAAAATCCAAAATCTGAAAAACTTCTAGTCTGAAGCATTTTGAATAAGGGATACTCAGCCTGTACCTGTGGCACACTGTTTTGGTTACTATTGATTTATAGTAATTCTTGAAATGAATCCTCCAATTCTGTTCTTTGTTCTGTTTTGACTATGCTAGATCCTTTGCATTTTTACATGAACTTTAGAATCAGCTTATCAATAAAATAAAGACTGCTTGCTTGTTGGAAATTAAGTTGGGATTGTGTCATATTTATAGATTTGGGGAGAATTGACATCTTAACAATAGTGAATCTTTCTACTCTAAATAATGTGTATGTCTGCTTTTATAGAAGTAATATTTAATTTTCTCAGTAGTATTTTGCAGTTTTTAGTTTACAGGTCTTTTCATATTTTATCAGATTTATCTGTATTTCATTTTTGATGAAGTTATAAATGATAGTTTAGTTAGTGTAGATGTATTTGACTTTATACAGGTTGAGCATTGCTAATCCAAGTATACATTTTTATAAAACTATAGAAAATGATAGTTTTAAAATTTTGATTTGTTTATTGCTAGCATATAGAAATACAGTTAATTTTTCAATATTGAATTTGTATCCTTCAATCTTGTTAAACTCACTTATTAGTTCTGGCACATTCTTGGTAGATTTGATCAGATTTTCTTCACAGACAAAAGGTTGTTAAACCTTTCTTTCTCAAACTACCCTCTTACTAATGATAGTGAATATTTTAGACTTATGGCAAAAGGGTCTCTTTTGTAGCTGATAAACTCTGCCATTTTAGTATGAGAGCAGCCATAGGCCATCCATAAGTTAATCAACACAGCTGTGTTCCAGTAAAAGCTTATTGACATAGACAAGAAGCTGGCCCACAGGTTGGGGTTTACCCATACCTGTTGTATGGTCACGGTTGTGTATAAAGACAATTTTATTTCTTTTTTTAAACCTGGATGCCTCTTATTTCTTTTTCTTGCCTGATTGCATTAACTAGAATCTTCAGAACAATGCTACATACAAGTAGTGAAAGCAGACATTCCTGTGTTGTTCCTCATGTTATGGGAAATGCATTCAATTTTTCACTATGATGCACATTAGCTGCAGATTCATCATAGACGTTTTTATCATGCTGAAGAACTTCCCTTGGATTCTTATGTTGCTGAGAGTGTTTCTTCTTTGAAATATCAGGAGTAAATTTTATCAGATGCCTCTATCTGTTGGGATGATCCTGTGGGTCTTCTCTTTTAGTTCATTTTATGCTAAATAATGATGATGTTTCAATGTTAAGCCAACCTTTCCTTTTCTGGAATAAACCCCCTTTGTTTATGATGTATTACCTTTTTATTATACTATGGGATTAAACTTACTAAAGTCTCATTTAGAATTTATTATAAAGACTTTTATTTTTTAGACCAGTTTTATGACCCTGGCAAAATTGAGAGGGAGGTTCGGATATTTTTTTGTATACCCCCACCCCAACACATGTGTAGCCTCCCTCATTACCAGTATCCTTCACCATAGTGGTCGTTGCTATGACAGATGAGCCTAAATTGACACACTCCAATTACCCAAAGCCCATAATTTGCATTGGGGTTCACTCTTGGTACTGTATATGTATGGGTTTGGACAAAGGTACAATGATGTGTATCCATGTTATAGAAATTATTTTGACTTCCCAAAAAATCCTCTGTGCTCTGTCTATGTATCATTTCCTGCTGTCTCTCACCCTTTGGCACACTTTTACTTTATTCATAGTTTTGCATTTTTCTGATCATATAGTTGGAATCATACAGTAAGTAGCCTTTTCAGATTATCTTACATCACTTGGTAATGTGCATTTAAGGTTCTTTCACATGTTTTCATGAATTGATTTCTCATTTCTTTATGTGTAGAGTGATATTCCACCGTATGGCTGTTTAACCGCAGTTTATTCGCTCCACTATTGGAAGATATCTTTGTTGCATCACAAATTGGTTGAATTTTTACATTCATGCTCATGAGGGAATTTTCTTGTTGGTAATATTTTCTGGTTTTGGTTCAGGGTAATGCTAACATTATAGACTGAGTTGAGATATACTCTTCTTTCTGTTTCTTTTGGGAGAGTTTGTGTATAATTGTATTATTTTCTTCCAGAAATGTTTTGTAAAATTCACCAACATAGCTAGCTGGGTCTGGAGTTTTCTTTTAGCAAGGTTTTTAACTATAACTTAACTTTCTTTTATAGATATAGGGCAATTCAGGTTATCTATTGCTTCTTCATTGAGATTTGCTAATTTTCATTTTAAAAGGAATTTGTTAATTTTATCTAAGTTGTCATGTTTACTTACATAGAAATTATAATATCTTGTTATATTTTTAGTATCTGTACAATCTATAATAATGTCACTTTGTTTATTTCTGAAATTCGTAATTTGTATTTTTCTTTTTTTCTGAGCAGCCTGGCTAAATGGAGCTTTATCACATTTATTGATCTCCTCAAAGTGTTTTGTGTTGATTTTTTTCTATCGTTTCTTCTGAAACCAACAGTATAACAAAATACCATAGACTGGGTCAAACAACGGAAGTTGATTTCTCGCAGTTGTGGGGTCAGCAAAGTCCAAGATCCAAATGCTGTCGGATTTAGTGTATGGTTCGGGAACATGTCCTGGTTCATGAATGAATTCTTTTTCTCTGCGCCCTCACTTGGCAGAAGGGGTGAAGGAGATCTGGGGTCTGTTGTATAAGAGCACTAAGCACTAATTCTGTTCATGAGGGCTTGGCTCATGTAAAAATCACCCCTCCTAATACCGTCACATTGTGATTGGCTTTCAGCATATAAATTTTGGGGAAGACAAACATTCAGACCACAGCAGATGTTTATTATTTCCTTTCTTCTGCTTGCTTTGGGTTTAATTCACTCTTATCTAGTTCCTTAAGGTAGAAGTCAAGGTCATTGATTTGAGACTCTTCTAAATAGACATTTGGCAGTGCTAAAAATTTCTATTCAAGTACAGTTGTAGCTGCATTCCACAAATTCTGGTTGACAAATTTTTATTCAGTTCAGAATATTTTCTAATTTCTATTTCATTTTCTTTACCTGTTTGACCCAGGGTTATTTAGATGTGTGTTACTTAGTTTCCAAATATTGGAGTATTTCCCAGAGTTATTTTTGTTATTGGTCTTTAATCTGATTGATTTGTGGTCAGGGCACATACTTTGTATGACTTAAATCCTTCTGACTCAACACTTTAGTTGAGAGTTGTTGTATGGCCTAAAATATGATCTATTTTTGGTAAGTGTTCCACGGGTACTTGAAAAGCGTGCTGTTGTTCAAGTCTATTCTTGCTGATTTTCTGCCTTCTTGTTCTATCACTTACTGAGTAAAGGGTATTGAAACCTCAGATTACTTAGAAATTGTCTGTTTCTTTTTGTAGTTCTATCCACTTTGGTCTCATATATTGTGAAGCTGGTTTGTTATTAGGTGCATAAACACTTAAGATTGTTAGGTTTTGTTGATTAACTGAACCTTTTACTATTGTGACATGACCTTTTGTTATTTATTGCTGGGTTTTTTTGTTTGTTTGTTTGTTTGTTTTTGCTATGAAATCTACTTTGGTATTAACACAGCCCACTCCTGCTCAGCTGCCCTTGGCAACTGTTAGCATGTATGTTTTTCCATCCTTGTAACCATTTGTGTCTTTACATTTAAAGTGCATTTCTTATAGGCAGCCTGTAGTTGGGTCTTGCTTTCTTACTGAGCCTGACAGTCTGCATTTGAGTTGAGGTTTTTAGACAAGTGTCATTTATAATGTCGTTGATAATAGTTATGTTTGTCTAGTAGCTGTTTGATTGCTATTAGTCCCAACTGTTCTTTGTTCCCCTTCTTTTTCTGCTTTCTTTTAGTCAACTATTTTTTATGATTCAATTTTGCATATATTTTTGGGTTTATTAGGGATAACTGTTTTGCTATATTAATGTTTAGGATTTTTAGTATATAATTTTAACTTATCACAGTCCACCTTCAGTAATACTATACATCATAGATGGTATAAAAAATGACAATGATACATTTTCAGTTTTTTCTGTCCCAGACACTTCCTTCCTGAATCTGTGGGGTTATGGTTTGTATTAAGGTTAGAATATTTTCGGCCATTTTTTCTTTTAATTTTTTTTCTATCTCTTCTTTTTTTATTTAGGGAGTTATCGATTAGCTGCTTGAAAGTTTCTCACAGTTTATTGTGTCAAATTTAGGAATATTTTCCTTTGTCGTCTCTAATTTGTGTTTATTTCCATCCACTATAGTTTTTACTTCTGACAATGTAATTTGCATCTCCACAAGTATGGTCTGTTTTTAAAAAAAAAAAAATACCTTCCCTGCCTCCACTTACTGTCTTGAGTTTTATTTGAAGTACAGAGATTTACTTATAATCTTTCCATTCTTGCTTTTAGATTTGGGGTAATTCCTCACTCCTGAGGCAAGACCTTTCTGAATATTCATTGTCATGTGAAGTATGAGGTGTTTTGGCCTGGCGCATGGGAGTGGACCCTCTTCCAGTCATTGTGTGAACCCCAGGCATAGTTTCTGCTGATTTTCTTTAACTGTTTCTTTTAAATTTTATTTTCCACTGTTCTTAGGAAGTTTCCTAGCACACAAGCACTTTTCGTTACTCCACTAAATACCCAAGAGGGAATCTCTGCACATCTCCAGGATTTGTTTCCTGTACTGCTTTATTCTCTCCAGTTTTCTGTCCTGTGATCTCTATTTGCTTTGGTTTTACTAGCCTCTCAGCTTCATAACCCCAGCTCTATGTCAGATTTTCTCCCTTTGTCATGGCCTTGAACCTCTGTCAAAACTCTGTCAAAAGAGCTGGGACAATTGTAAGGCCTGCTATATATGTTTTCTGTCTTATAGTGATCACCTACCATCTTCATTGCCTGAAGCCCACTGTGTTGGAAATCATTGCTTAATGTATTTTGTCTGTTTTGTTTTGTATTGTTTCAGGTAAGATGAAAAATCCTGTCCGTTACTCCATCAGAGCTAGTAATAGATTGCAGCAGAGCTTCGGCACAGCACATGCTGTAAACTGGCCAGAGTGTTTTGCTTTCCTTTTTGCCTAACTGCTTCTTTCTCATCCTTCATTTCTCAGTGTAGTATCTCTTCCTCAGGGAAATCTTCCCTGGGTGCAGTATAGATCAAATTATCTTATGCAGTCATATAACTATGGTTTTTTTTTTTTACAGGACCTGTCTGAGTTTATAATTGTCACCTTTTTATCTTGGTTCTTCATTATGCTTTAAGCTAAAACAATAGCAGAGGTGTTGTCTTATCTGCAGACCTTAGTATAATATCTTCTACCTTGTAGGCACTCAATATGTACATATTTGTTCAATGTATGAATGAATGCATGTTAAAAATGCACAGTCCTTTATATCCAAAAACTTACTCATGTATTTTATCTCTATTTTGTTTTTTCCTGGTTACAGATTGTATTCATCTATCAAAAATTAAAAATACATTTTGTTTTTGTAAAAGATCAATAAAACTTAAAGATAATCACTGTGAGCGACGTATAGTAAAAATTCAAAAAATGAAAAATAAGGTTAGTGTACTACGGAAGAGACTATCTGAAAAAGAAGAAATAAAATCGTGCTTAGAGCATGAAAAACTTGAATGCAAACAAGAACTCTGTAGTGTGAGGTATGACCTTGTTCTAAAGAAATGTTAGAACTCTTTGTTTTATACTAAAGACGTATAAGGAAAATGTTTGTAATTGCTAACTTTCCTTCTAGGATTTACAGGGAAAAAAGTTTCTTAATCTTATGGAGTGTGAAATTATTGAATATAATATCACAAGTTCTTTTTTTTTTTTTTTTTTTTTTTAAAACGGAGTCTCGCTCTGTCGCCCAGGCTGGAGTGCAGTGGCTGGATCTCAGCTCACTGCAAACTCCGCCTCCCGGGTTCCCGCCATTCTCCTGCCTCAGCCTCCCGAGTAGCTGGGACTACAGGCGCCCGCCACCTCGCCCGGCTAGTTTTTTTTTTTTTTTGTATTTTTTAGTAGAGACGGGGTTTCACCGTGTTAGCCAGGATGGTCTCGATCTCCTGACCTCGTGATCCGCCCATCTTGGCCTCCCAAAGTGCTGGGATTACAGGCTTGAGCCACCGCGCCCGGCCCACAAGTTCTTAATTGTGAATACTTCTCTAATAATTAAATGCATATTCTTTTAAATCATAGTTTTAATGGCTGTATAGAATTTTACCCTTTGGAAATCTCATTATTTAATTGATGAATTGAATTTTAGGCTTTAAAAAGTTTTTGTATTAATGCTACAAGGAACATCTTTTATTTACACGTAGTTTTCTACATTTTTAATTATTTACTTTGGATAAATTCTTCTGGTTAAAGTACAGAAACTTTTTTAGATCTGTTTTAGATATTTGATCAATATTTCTAAATTGTTCTTAAGAAAGTTTAATTTATAATTCAATCAACAGGGTATAAAATAGATATTTTCTTTATCCAGAATAATTATTTTAAAAATTATCAGTCGGGTGCGGTGGCTCACGCCTGTAATCCCAGCACTTCGGGAGGCTGAGGTGGGCAGATCACGAGGTCAGGAGTTTGAGACCAGTCTGGCCAACATAATGAAATGCTGTCTCTACTAAAAATACAAAAACTTAGCCAGGCGTGGTGGTGTGCACCTGTAATCCCAGCTACTCAGGAGGCTGAGGCAGGAGAATCCCATGAACCTGGGAGGCGGAGGTTGCAGTGAGCTGAGATTGCACCATTGCACTCTAGCCCAGTGATAGTGCGAGACTCCCTGTCAAAAAAAAAACAAACAAACAAACAAAAAATTATCCAGTTTTATTCTTAACATGCAGCGAATAAAAAGTAAAATGGAAAGTGTTTACTGATTAGCTTATTCAACATTTCTCTGCTATGTAGATAAAATTAATTCAAAGTTTTATGCTGAAGACACGTATTATTCTTTATTGTTTAATTAAATATTAGATCTTGTGTTGTTCCAAAACAGATTTTAAAATTGTTTATAAAATACATACTAATCAACAGGATAGATTGAAAGTTTTGCCCAAAAAACAATCTTAAAAAGTGTAGGGGGTAACATATTACATTCCTAACCTAGTCTTGGATTACACTAATCTGCTGATATATATTTCATAAACACATCAAAAGTGCTATATTACAATGTAAATTAGTTTAGGGATACTTGCAATGAATGTTTCATGAAGGTGAAAATATATTTCTAGTAAGTGTATCAACTTGTTTATAAAAAGTTACTTTATGTTAATTAACTCTAAACAATTCATCCTAATTGAAGAGTAATTACTGTGTGAAGAAAAGGTAATTTTTATCTTGTAACTTTACTGAATAATTTTCAGCATTTTTTTTCGTAATATTTGCTAGAGTTACTAGTAACAGAAACTTATGCAGGATGTTCTTTTGTCAGTACATTTCAACTTATACATGTCCTTTGGATGAGATTGAGGTGAGAAATTAAAAACATGAGAACTAGAAAGAAAAATAGTGTTTAAGAACATAGAAACTTTATTAGGATAATAAGCCAACATATGAATGTTTTATTTTCTAATATCAACAAAGAGAGTCAAACTCTGTAAAATATTTGAAGAGATTTATTCTGAGCCAAATATGAGTGACCATGGCCACTGACACAGCCCTCAGGAGGTCCTGAGAACATGTGCCCAAGGTCCTGAGAACATGTGCCCAAGGGGCGCAACTTGGTTTTATACATTTTAGAGAGGCATGAAACATCAATCAAATACATTTAAGAAATACATTGGTTTGGTTCAGAAAGGCAGGACAACTCAAAGCAGGGGCTTCCAGGCTATAGATAAATTTAAACATTTTCTGGTTGACAATTGGTTGAGTTTATTTGAAGACCTGGGATTAATGGAAAGAAATGTTCAGGTTAAGGTAAATGATTGTGGGGACCAAGTTTTCTTGTGCAGAGGAATCTCTCAGCAGACTTCAGAGAGAGCAGGTTGTAAAATGTTTTCTTATGGGACCTTTTAAAAAGGGTGCCTGGCTCTTAGCTGATTATCTCCTGGATCTTCACAGAAAGGAAGGAAAACAAAGGGGAAAAGGGGCTTCTCTATAGAATGTGGATTTTTCCCACAAGAGACTTTGCAGGGCAATTTCAAGGTATGGCAAGGAAATATATTTTTGATTAAATATTTGCTTCTTTGTCTTATAATGTTATGCCAGAGTCAGATTGAAAAGCAAGTCACAATATATGGGGTCAAATAAAATCCATCTGATGAGAATCCATGGTACCCCTTAGGTAGGAATTTGCACAAGATAAAAAATTAAAGCTTACTCCTCACTGATAAAATAAATACTAAGATAAGTATATTTACAGATTTGCCATACTGCAAGAAAAAGAGAAACGAAGAAATGTTGAAGAGTTGCACCAAAAAGTTCGGGAAAAGTTAAGAACAACAGAAGAGCAATATAGGATAGAAGCTGATGTGACAGAAGTTAAACTGGCTCTCAAATCACTGGAGATGGAATTGAAGAGTGTAGGAAAGAATTCAAATCAGGTAAATAAATGTTTGGTAAAACTTCATATTTCTACTTTTTTTTAATGTTACTTATAATATCTCTTTCATTTAATGTATATTATTTAAGCCTAAGAAAACCCCAAATTGTATTTCATCTTAAAAATGAATCAAGGCATTTATAGCTACAATTATTTATAATCTTGAAATATTTTATTTTAGTTCAAAGACCTTTTGAAAACAATGCTATTCTATAATGTATACTTAATGATATTGTATTTTGTTCCTAGTGACATAGTTCAGCATATTTTCCCCTATTTCATGTTAATTACTGTTTCAAGTGTTATGGAAAAGAAATAAAAGTGATCACAATAACAAATAATCTCATGATTTTCTAAGAAGAGCTTTATAAATTTAATTTTCTTGACTTTTGGTGTTTTGAAATAAAAGATTATTTTTGTATGTCTATATCTACCTCACAGAAGTAACTGATTTGGTGGAAGAGCATTACAAGTAGAGTCAGAAAAGCTGGGAAAAGTCCTGCAGCGTGTTTATATTTTTAACCTTTTGCTATAGAATTATAACTAAATGAGTTCATTGATTTGTGCATGTAAAAGTGCTTAGTACAATGCCTAGACTTATCATTTATCAATAAATGTCATTCTTAAAACTGACCATAACAATATTAAAAAAGTAAATATCTATACAATATTTTAGAAAAAGGGAAGTTAAAGAATTTGGAAAATGTCATTCATCTGTCCAAATATCTGCCAAGCTAAGGCTCTCACTATAGGGAGATGTATAGCTTAGATGTTAGAGTGTAAACCCAATTTTTTAACGTGATCATAGTTATTAATTCTTTATGCTTTGCAATTTGTTGTAATTCAGTAAAAGCCTTTTTTAATTCTGAAATTTAAAAAAATTTTCTAGTGGTTTTTTTTTTTCTTTTTGCTTTCATGGGTTCATTGTCTTCAGATAAACTTTCGAACTTTGGGGAATTAATGCTTTTTGAGGTTTGAGGTTTTGACTCAATTTCTTTTTTCTGAGTTAGATATCCAGTTATGGCAACCCTCTCATTGTATAAATGCACAGGTTATTATTTAATTTCAAGAGCAATCACAATATGTTATCCTATTGGGTACTAGTTATAAGTTTTCTTTGTTTTACTTAGATTTCTGACACTGATAAAAAAGAAGAAGACCTGCTGCATGAAAACCACTTGATGGAAGATGAAATTGCCACGCTCAGACTGGAAATAGACACAATAAAAAACCAAAACCTGGAAAAGAAATACTTAAAAGACTTTGAAATTATGAAAAGAAAGCATGAAGACCTTCAAGAGACTCTAAAACGGAATGGGGAAACATTAGCAAAAACGATAGCTGATTATAGTGTACAGCTTACTGCTCTGACAGATGAGAACGCAACGCTCCGTTCCAAACTGGAGAAGGAAACACAGAGCAGGCAAAGACTGGAAACAGAAACGGAATCATACCATTGTAGACTGAATGCTGCTCTATCTGATCATGATCAAAGTCACTCATTAGAAAGAGACCAAGAGCTTGGTTTCCAGGGCACAGTAGATAAATGGTGTCATTTACAGGAAAATTCGAATTCTTGTGTTCTGACTCTTTCTCAGCAACTTTCTAAAGCTGAGAGTAAGTTCAGAGTCCTTGAAACTGAGCTCCATTACACAAGAGAGGCTCTGAAAGAAAAGTCTTTGGTTTTTGAACATGTACAAAGAGAACTAAACCAAAAACAGTGTCAAATGAAGGACATTGAAAAAATGTACAAAAATGAATATGATAAAATGGAAAAATGCATAGAAAAGCAGGAAAGATTTTGTCAACTACAAAAACAAACTATGTTAATTCAACAGCAACTGGATGATGCTCGCAACAAAGCTGACAATCAAGAAAAAGCAATACTTACTATTCAAGCCAGATGTGATGCTAGAGTACAAAACTTTCAAGCTGAGTGCAGAAAGCACCGTCTTTTATTACAAGAAGACAATAAGAGGTTGGTCAAGGAATTGAATCATTTGAAAGAAAAAGAACGCCAAAATGAAAAAGAGAAAGCAGAAAGAGAAGTAAGTGTCAAGAAAAATAAATATTTTTCAAACTTCCTGAAGTAAAATTTGAAGTAATATTTGGTGACAGCTAAATGTTGGATCTAGTTGAATATAAAAAAGGATACATATGATAAATGTATCTGCTATATCAGCTTAGAAACATTCCTTGTTTCCAGCAAGTCAGAGTTAAAACTGAGAGATTCTTTCCTCTGATTAAATTCATGTGTCACTTACACAATTTTAAGTTATAAAATGTTAATGTAGACTAATATTAATAATGTAGCCTTATACTGCTGAAATAATAATTTTTTCATTTCAAGACATTTCAAGACCATGATAAATCAGATATATGGAAATGCTCATACCTAAAATGGTATTTTGAAATTGATTCAATTAAATGGGGTACTTTGACAGTTAATTACAGATTTCCCAGATGAACTGAAGTGTATTCCTTATTTCATAATTATTTTTCTTCAGTAGCTTTAAATATATCTTAGTTGGTACAATTTTGTTTTCCTTCATATCAATTTGACTTAAATCTGAAACTATTTCAATCTCAAATTATATATAGATATGATCATTCCATTCTTTAAAGGCATCTAATTTTACTTATATTATAATATGGGGAAAATGTGGTAAATTTTAGCCAAACCATATTTGATTTAATCTTCCCACTGGCATTTATAATTTACTTTCAGTTTTGTTTTTTTTAAATTTTTTTTTATTATTATACTTTAAGTTCTAGGGTACATGTGCATAACGTGCAGGTTTGTTACATATGTATACTTGTGCCATGTTGGTGTGCTGCACCCATCAACTCGTCAGCACCCATCAACTCGTCATTTACATCAGGTATAACTCCCAATGCAATCCTTCCCCCCTTCCCCCTCCCCGTGATAGGCCCCGGTGTGTGATGTTCCCCTTCCCGAGTCCAAGTGATCTCATTGTTCAGTTCCCACCTATGAGTGAGAACATGTGGTGTTTGGTTTTCTGTTCTTGCGATAGTTTGCTGAGAATGATGGTTTCCAGCTGCATCCATGTCCCTACAAAGGACACAAACTCACCCTTTTTTATGGCTGCATAGTATTCCATGGTGTATATGTGCCACATTTTCTTAATCCAGTCTCTCACTGATGGACATTTGGGTTGATTCCAAGTCTTTGCTATTGTGAATAGTGCCGCAATAAACATACGTGTGCATGTGTCTTTATAGCAGCATGATTTATAATCCTTTGGGTATATACCCAGTAATGGGATGGCTGGGTCATATGGTACTTCTAGTTCTAGATCCTTGAGGAATCGCCATTCTGTTTTCCATAATGGTTGAACTAGTTTACAATCCCACCAACAGTGTAAAAGTGTTCCTATTTCTACACATCCTCTCCAGCACCTGTTGTTTCCTGACTTTTTAATGATTGCCATTCTAACTGGTGTGAGCTGGTATATGGTTTTGATTTGCATTTCTCTGATGGCCAGTGATGATGAGCATTTTTTCATGTGTCTGTTGGCTGTATGAATGTCCTCTTTTGAGAAATGTCTGTTCATATCCTTTGCCCACTTTTTGATGGGGTTGTTTGTTTTTTTCTTGTAAATTTGTTTGAGTTCTTTGTAGGTTCTGGATCTCTGATGGCCAGTGATGATGAGCATTTTTTCATGTGTCTGTTGGCTGTATGAATGTCTTCTTTTGAGAAATGTCTGTTCATATCCTTTGCCCACTTTTTGATGGGGTTGTTTGTTTTTTTCTTGTAAATTTGTTTGAGTTCTTTGTAGGTTCTGGATATTAGCCCTTTGTCTGATGAGTAGATTGCAAAAATTTTCTCCCATTGTGTAGGTTGCCTGTTCACTCTGATGGTAGTTTCTTTTGCTGTGCAGAAGCTCTTTAGTTTAATTACATCCCATTTGTCAATTTTGGCTTTTGTTGCCATTGCTTTTGGTGTTTTAGACATGAAGTCCTTGCCCATGCCTATGTCCTGAATGGTATTAGCTAGGTTTTCTTCTAAGGTTTTCTTCTAAGGTCTAACATTTAAGTCTCTAATCCATCTTGAATTAATTTTCGTATAAGGAGTAAGGAAAGGATCCAGTTTCAGCTTTCTACTTATGGCTAGCCAATTTTCCCAGCACCATTTATTAAATAGGGAATCCTTTCCCCATTTCTTGTTTTTCTCAGGTTTATCAAAGATCAGATGGCTGTAGATGTGTGGTATTATTTCTGAGGACTCTGTTCTGTTCCATTGATCTTTATCTCTGTTTTGGTACCAGTACCATGCTGTTTTGGTTATTGTAGCCTTGTAGTATAGTTTGAAGTCATGTAGCGTGATGCCTCCAGCTTTGTTCTTTTGACTTAGGATTGTCTTGGAGATGCGGGCTCTTTCTTGGTTCCATATGAACTTTAAAGCAGTTTTTTCCAATTCTGTGAAGACCTTAGTTTTCCAATTCTTGCGAAAAGAAGCTCATTGTTAGCTTGATGGGGATGGCATTGAATCTATAAATTACCTTGGGCAGTATGGCCATTTCACGATATTGATTCTTCCTATCACCCAGGCATGGTATGTTCTTCCATTTGTTTGTGTCCTCTTTGATTTCACTGAGCAGTGGTTTGTAGTTCTCTTGAAGGAGTCCTTTCATCCCTTGTAAAGTTGGATTCCTAGTATTTTATTCTCTTTGAAGCAATTGTGAATGGAAGTTCATTCCCTGATTTGGCTCTCTGTTTGTCTGTGTACTGGTGTATACAAGAATGCTTGTGATTTTGCACATTAATTTTTGTATCCTGAGATTTGCTGAAGTTTCTTGTCAGCCTGGAGATTTAGGCTGAGACAATGGGGTTTTCTAAATATACAATCATGTCATCTGCAAATGGGACAATTTGACTTCTTCTTTTCCTAACTGAATACCCTTATTTCTTTCTCTTGCCTGATTGCCTAATAGAACTTCAACACTATGTTGAATAGGAGTGAGTGAGAGGCATCCCTGTGTATGCCAGTTTTCAAAGAGAATTTTTCCAGTTTTTGCCCATTCAGTATAGTATTGGCTTGTAGGTTATATAAATAGCTCTTATGATTTTGAGATATATTCCATCAATACCAAATTTATTGAGGATTTTTAGCATAGAAGGAGCTGTTGAATTTTGTCAAAGGCCTTTTCTGCATCTGGTGAGATAATCATGGTTTTTGTCTTTGGTTCTGTTTATATGCTGGATTATGTTTATTGATTTGCAGATGTTAGACCGGCCCTTGCATCCCAGGGATGAAGCCCGCGATCATGGTGGATAAACTTTTTGATGTGCTGCTGGATCCAGTTTGCCAGTATTTTGTAGGGATTTTGCATCGATGTTCATCAGGGATGTTAGTCTAAAATTCTCTTTTTTGTTATGTCTCTGCCAGGCTTTGGTATCAGGATGATGGCCTCATAGACCAGGTTAGAGAGGATTTCACTCTTTTCTATTGAGTTAGAATAGTTTCAGAAGGGATAGTGCCAGCTCCTCCTTCATGCCTCTAGTAGGAATTCAGCTGTGAATCATCGTACCTCTGGTAGAATTCAGCTGTGAATCCATCTGGTCCTGGACTTTTTTTGGTTGGCAAGCTATTAATTATTGCCTCAATTTCAGAGCCTGCTATTGTTCTATTCAGGGATTCAGCTTCTTCCTGGTTTAGTCTTGGGAGAGTGTAATTGTCCAGGAAATTATCCATTTCTTCTAGATTTCCTAGTTTATTTGCGTAGAGGTGTTTATAGTATTCTCTGATGGTAGTTTGTATTTCTTTGGGGTCGGTGGTGATACCCCCTTTATCATTTTTAATTGCGTCGATTTGATTCTTCTCTCTTTTCTTCTTTATTAGTCTTGCTAGTGGTCTATCAATTTTGTTGATCTTTTCAAAAAACCAGCTACTGAATTCATTGATTTTTTGGAGAGTTTTTTTGTGTCTCTATCTCCTTCAGTTCTGCTGTGATCTTAGTTATTTCTTGCCTTCTGCTAGCTTTTGAATGTGTGTGCTCTTGCTGCTCTAGTTCTTTTAATTGTGATGTTAGAGTGTCAATTTTAGATCTTTCCAGCTTTCTCTTGTGGGCATTTAGTGCTATAAATTTCCCTCTACACACTGCTTTAAATGTATTCCAGAGACTCTGGTATGTTGTATCTTTGTTCTCATTGGTTTCAAAGAACATCTTTATTTCTGCCTTCATTTCATTGTGTACCCCGTAGTCATTCAGGAGCAGGTTATTCAGTTTCCATGTAGTTGAGCGGTTTTGATTGAGTTTCTTAGTCCTGAGTTCTAGTTTGATTGCACTGTGGTCTGAGAGACAGTTTGTTATAATTTCTGTTCTTGTACATTTGCTGAGGAGTGCTTTACTTCCAATTACGTGGTCAATTTTGGAGTAAGTACGATGTGGTGCTGAGAAGAATGTATATTCTGTTGATTTGGGGTGGAGAGTTCTATAGATGTCTATTAGGTCTGCTTGCTGCAGAGATGAGTTCAATTCCTGGATATCCTTGTTAACTTTCTGTCTCGTTGATCTGTCTAATGTTGACAGTGGAGTGTTGAAGTCTCCCATGATTATTGTATGGGAGTCTATGTCTCTTTGTAAGTCTCTAAGGACTTGCTTTATGAATCTGGGTGCTCCTGTATTGGGTGCATATATATTTAGGATAGTTAGCTCTTCCTGTTGAATTGATCCCTTTACCATTATGTAATGGCCTTCTTTGTCTCTTTTGATCTTTGATGGTTTAAAGTCTGTTTTATCAGAGACTAGTATTGCAACCCCTGCTTTTTTTTGTTCTCCATTTGCTTGGTAGATCTTCCTCCATCCCTTTATTTTGAGCCTATGCATGTCTCTGCATGTGAGATGGGTCTCCTGAATACAGCAGACTGATGGGTCTTGACTCTTTATCCAGTTTGCCAGTCTGTGTCTTTTAATTGGAGCATTTAGTCCATTTACATTTAAGGTTAATATTGTTATGTTTGACCTTGATCCTGCCATTATGATATTAACTGGTTATTTTGCTCGTTAGTTGATGCAGTTTCTTCCTAGCCTCGATAGTCTTTACATTTTGGCATGTTTTTGCAATGGCTGGTACCGGTTGTTCCTTTCCATGTTTAGTGCTTCCTTCAGGGTCTCTTGTCAGGCAGGCCTAGTGGTGACAAAATCTCTAAGCATTTGCTTATCTGTAAAGGATTTTATTTCTCCTTCACTTATGAAACTTAGTTTGGCTGGATATGAAATTCTGGGTTGAAAATTCTTTTCTTTAAGAATGTTGAATATTGGCCCCCACTCTCTTCTGGCTTGTAGAGTTTCTGCCGAGAGATCTGCTGTTAGTCTGATGGGCTTCCCTTTGTGGGTAACCCGACCTTTCTCTCTGGCTGCCCTTAAGATTTTTTCCTTCATTTCAACTTTGGTGAATCTGGCAATTATGTGTCTTGGAGTTGCTCTTCTCGAGGAGTATCTTTGTGGCATTCTCTATATTTCCTGGATTTGAATGTTGGCCTGCCCTACTAGGTTGGGGAAGTTCTCCTGGATGATATCCTGAAGAGTGTTTTCCAACTTGGTTCCATTTTCCCCCTCACTTTCAGGCACCCCAATCAGATGTAGATTTGGTCTTTTTACATAATCCCATACTTCTTGCAGGCTTTGTTCGTTTCTTTTTCTTCTTTTTTCTTTAGATTTCTCTTCTCACTACATTTCATTCATTTGATCCTCAATTGCTGATACTCTTTCTTCCAGTTGATCGAGTTGGTTACTGAAGCTTGTGCATTTGTCACGTATTTCTCGTGTCATGGTTTTCATCTCTGTCCGTTCGTTTATGGCCTTCTCTGCATGAATTATTCTGGTTATCAATTCTTCCACTCTTTTTTCAAGATTTTTAGTTTCTTTGCGCTGGGTACGTAATTCCTCCTTTAGCTCTGAGAAGTTTGATGGACTGAAGCCTTCTTCTCTCATCTCCTCAAAGTCATTCTCCATCCAGCTTTGATCCATTGCTGGCGATGAGCTGCGTTCCTTTGGAGGGGGAGATGCACTCTTATTTTTTGAATTTCCAGCTTTTCTGCCCTGCTTTTCCCCCATCTTTGTGGTTTTATCTGCCTCTGGTCTTTGATGATGGTGATGTACTGATGGGGTTTTGGTGTGGGTGTCCTTCCTGTTTGTTAGTTTTCCTTCTAACAGTCAGGACCCTCAGCTGTAGGTCTGTTGGAGATTGCTTGAGGTCCACTCCAGACCCTGTTTGCCTGGGTGTCAGCAGCAGAGGCTGCAGAAGATAGAATACTGCTGAACAGCGAGTATACCTGTCTGATTCTTGCTTTGGAAGCTTCCTCTCAGGAGTGTACTCCACCCTGTGAGGTGTGGGGTGTTGGTCTGCCCCTAGTAGAGGATGTCTCCCAGTTAGGCTACTCAGGGGTCAGGGACCCACTTGAGCAGGCAGTCTGTCCGTTCTCAGATCTCAATCTCTGTGTTGGGAGATCCACCGCTCTCTTCAAAGCTGTCAGACAGAGTCGCTTGCGTCTGCAGAGGTTTCTGCTGCTTTTTTGTTGTTGTTGTTGTTGTTTAGCTGTGCCCTGTCCCCAGAGGTGGAGTCTACAGAGACTGGCAGGCCTCCTTGAGCTGCTATGAGCTCCACCCAGTTCGATCTTCCCAGGGCTTTGTTTACCTACTTAAGCCTCAGCAATGGTGGGGGCCCCTCCCCCAGCCTCGCTGCTACCTTGCGGTTAGATCGCAGACTGCTGTGCTAGCAATGAGGAAGGCTCTGTGGGCGTGGGACCCTCCCCGCCAGGTGTGGGATATAATATCCTGGTGTGCCCGTTTGCTTAAAGTGCAGTATTGGGGTGGGAGTACCCGATTTTCCAGGTGTTGTGTGTCTCAGTTCCCCTGGCTAGGAAAAGGGATTGCCTTCCCCCTTGCGCTTTCCAGGTGAGGTGATGCCTTGCCCTGCTTCAGCTCTTGCTGGTCGAGCTGCAACAGCTGACCAGCACAGATTGTCCGGCACTCCCCAGTGAGATGAACCCAGTACCTCAGTTGATAATGCAGAAATCACCTCTCTTCTGTGTCGCTGGCGCTGGGAGCTGGAGAGTGGAGCTGTTCCTATTCAGCCATCTTGCTCTGCCCCCCCCTTACTTTCAGTTTTTAAAGAAAAAAATTTGCTCATAATTTTTATTTCAAGGCTCAATTAGTATCATTTGGATATAACTTTGTCCAGGACAAAGAGAGGCATAGCTATCTGTGATTTATTAGATTGACACTGGATCCCCATTTTCAGGCTGAGGAGGATTTCAGACTGATGAGGAGTGTCAGAATTCACATAGAGTAGGAATGGAGTGAGTAGGGAGGAGAGAGTAGCAGCTGAGTCAGGGCAGGAGGTGGAGGGCAGGTTACTTAGAGCAGCTAAGGCCACTGGAATTTTACTTTTTTTCTGAGATAGAAATCTATTGGAAGGATTTAAGCATATGATTTAATGTGAAGAACTCTGAGATTGATTTGAGTTTCTAATTAAAAAAAAGAGGGAAATCATTCCACAATGTATAAGTTACTACCATCAGTCTCACCCACATACTCATTTCTTTTTGAGACTTCAGAAGGTTTTTAAGCATTGCAAATTCATCAGGGGAGGAATGACTAGTGGACTGAATATGTTGTGTGAATAACAACACCAATTTGGCAGGAAGATAACACCTTCTGTATCCTCAACTGGATTCAGTAATACACAGGAATGAGTACACACGAGGAAAAGAAGGTGAATCGGTCTGTGTGGTGATATTTTTCAAAGTGTATACTTCAGAGTTAAATATTATTAATGGTTTAATAATAAGATGATTTGTAAAATTAGTAACAAAAATAACATCTTATCAGGTAGTTGTGAGACAACTTCAGCAGAAACGAAATGATGTCTTAAACAAACAATCATCAACAAAAGCTTTGCTGGATGCTTCATCGCGTCACTGCGTCCATTTAGAAAATGAGATCCAGGATTCAAGGAAGATATTAGACCAGATAAGAAGTCGAGTATGTATGAAACTTTGCACGCCAACAACTGTTAATCTGGGGCTGGTTAACTAATATAAAGTGTTGGGGTACTAATTTTAGTGGATGGCTTTCTTTTGTATTTTTATTATAATTAATTTTATTAAAATTTTATAGTGCATGGCTTTCTTTTGTATTTTCATTATTATTAATTATTTTTAAATGTTATTATCTTTATAATGCACCTGTATCTTTTTTTTTTTTTTTTTTTTTGAGACAGAGTCTCACTCTGTCACCCAGGCTGGAGTGCAGTGGCACAATCTCGCTCACTGCAAGCTCCCCTCCTGGGGTCACGCCATTCTCCTACCTCAGCCTCCCGAGTAGGTGGGACTACAGGCGCCCACCACCACGCCGGGCTAATTTTTTTTTTGTATTTTCGGTAGAGACGGGGTTTCACCGTGTTAGCCAGGATGGTCTCGATCTCCTGACCTGGTGATCTGCCCGCCTCGGCCTCCCAGAGTGCTGGGATTACAGGCGTGAGCCACCGCGCCTGGCCTGCACCTGTATCTTAATCTCTGGCTTTCATTCTGCCATTTTTTATACATATTTTTTTTTTCTTAAATATTTAACCTTAGGAAAGTTGAGAATTATGCATCATTTCTCACAGAAGTTCAGAGAGGTTTTTTTTTCCCTGTTAAACAGTCTGTTTTTAGTGATTTCTCTATTGGCATGGTGAGGCAAGCCAGATTAATTCAGAGGATAATGTCTAATGGAATGTTTCAGAAAATTATCTTATTTTTAATCTCTACTTTTCTGAATGAATAAAGAACCTGTGTATACTTATTTCATAATTTCAGGTTAACTTGTTCAGAAAGGCCATTCTACTGAATCAATTTTGATTTTGATGAAAGTCCTCACTCTCTCTTTGTATTGGGCTCAGAGAGCACACTCTGTCTCTATATGAATATGGACAGTTGGCATTTGCCAACATGTATCTATTTTCTCTTGTTTATAGAAAAAGCTAAACTAAAAAGGGGGTTATAGAAGGTCAGCAAAGGATGGGTTTGAGATGTCTGGGTTAGTTAAGTGGGCATTTAGACAACAAGGCTTCTCCTTTGTCATGTTTAATGGACATCCTTGCAGTTTAAGATGACACTTTTAAATTACTTCTCTCCTAATGATGACTTGAGTCCTGCTATTCGGTGGGAGAGTCAATAAGATCCTGTAGGATCTTATTTGGAACTGACTTTGTTGATTTTAATTTTGTTCCTGCCTTTTTTTTTTTTTTTGAGACGGAGTCTTGCTCTGTTGCCCAGGCTGGAGTGCAGTGGCGCGATCTCGGCTCACTGCAAGCTCTGCCTTCTGGGTTCACGCCATTCTCCTGCCTCAGCCTCCCAAGTAGCTGGGACTACAGGTGCCCACCACCGTGCCCAGCTAATTTTTTGTATTTTTAGTAGAGAGGGGGTTTCACCGTGTTAGCCAGGATGGTCTCGATCTCCTGACCTCGTGGTCCGCCAGCCTCGGCCTCCCAAAGTGCTGGGATTACAGGCGTGAGCCACCGGGCCTGTCCCTGTTTCTGCTTATTTTTAAATTTTCTTATTGTTTCCCTAGAAAGGAAAGATTATGCTTATTTAGTTTTAAATATTAAAAAATGTACAAGTTGCTTTGCTATAATAAAACTAAATGCATACATACAAAAAATAAAATTATAGTTGATGTGGTAGCGTTTAGAATTCAAAATATAAATGCTTAGCATGAGGTAATCCTTTATCTTTCCACATTTTACCAGTTTGTAAGTTTGAGTGTTTATCTGATAAAATGTAATTCAAAAGCAAGAAGAATGTTGTGTTTTAGTCCTAGAGCAGGGGTCAGTGAACTTTTCTGTAAAGGGCCAGATAGTATTTTTTAAGGCTTTGTAAGCCATAAGATCCTTGTTGCAATAACTCAGCCCTGCCATTATAGCACAAAGTAGCCGTAAACAGTATGCAGATTGAAGGGGTGTAGCAGTGTCCCACTCAAATTAATTACAAAAAAACAGGTAATGGGATGGTTTCTACTAGATTATGATCTTTTTTAAAAGATCTTAATAGTCTAAAAACATTTTATATGTATTTTGTTGGTTCGTTCATCTACTAATGGACATTTAGATCATTTCCAAATGTAATTTTTTTTTAATTCTTTGTTTTAGTTTCCAGAAATACAGGATCAACTTACAGCGACTATAAGATGTACTAAGGAGATGGAAGGCCATGTACACAAGTAAAATTTGAAGCAGCACACAAAATAACTTGAGTATAAAGCAAAAGAGCACTGTAGTATGAAAATTGTATCAGTTATGATAATAAGTATGTCTTTGTGAAGCCAAAGAAGTTTCATTTGTAAGCTATGTTGAAATACATCATTTTTCTATATTATTCCTAAATTTTTCATATTATCAACAAAATGCAGGTAGAAAAATGACACAGTAGCCCAATCATCTACTTTTACAATTGCTAAGAATTTGTGTAATTATACCTTCAGAAGTTTATGTAGAATTTACATGATGTTAAAAAATTTATGTGTGAGAGTAATTATTTTAAAATGCACATTTTAGGCTTGAAGTAGAAAATGCCATGATAAGAAAAACTATTAAAAAGCAGGATGACCACATTGAGCAGCTTGAGAAAATCCTGCAGCGTTCAAGTTTGGTAAGCCAATCTCTTAATTTCTGTCATACTGAAAAGGAATTTTATTTTTCCAGTAGGACGGGTTAAATATCCCTTGTCCAAAATACTTGGGACCAAAAGTAGATTTTTTTCAGATTTTGGAATATTTGTGTATACCTAATGAAATACCTTGGGGGTGGTACCTGAGTCTAAACATGAAATTTGTTTATGTTTCATATATAAGTTATGCACATAGCCTGAAGGTAATCCTCTATGATGTTCTACAGTAATTTTTTGCAGGTAACAAAGTTTTTACTGTTTTCACCTCAGCCTGTCACATGAGGTCAGGTGTGGAACGCTGCAGTTGTGGCATCATGTCCGTGCTCAGAGAGTTTCAGATTGTAGAGCATTTTGGATTTCAGATTTTTAGATTAGGGGTGATCAATCTACAGGACAGATGCTCCATGACTTACAGTGGGTTTACATGATAATGTCCCTTGTTTGACTGAAACATTATAAGTAATATTTGATTTATTTCAGATGCAGCCTGTGTTCAGGAAGTAGATGAAGGTATGTTGCCAAAATTTATGAATTAAATTCAAATCATTGATTTCTGAAATAAACGGTATTCCTCTCAATTGGTTGGTTAATAAATGCTACATTAAATATTTTTTCTTACACATATCCAGTGAAAGATGTGAAAACAAACATTCACAGTGAAGAGTATACTTATGCCTTGTTAATTCATCATGTTCCATAGCTTTAAAAAAATCGTGAGAAGTCTGTGTATCCCTTTTTTTCTGGCCCTACACTTTTCTTCTGCCACCCCTATAGAACTGTCAGCCTGCACACTGAAACTGTTCTCAGAAAACAAAGGCATCATCAACTTCTCAAGGTTTAAGGTAGTGATTTAAGGCAAACAGACCCCACACTTGTTGATAATAATTAGTTAAGCAATTACAGGTCACAAGCAGTCACTTGACCAGTGACATTTTAGATCTCCAGTCATTGACTTTGTTATTGGTTTACTTTTGCCCCTGGGAAAAGTTGAAAATTCCTTAGCATGGAATCAAAACTCCCACATCAGTGTGGTTCTTGTCAAGTTATTCAGCCTTATCTTTCACCACTTACCACGCTCTGCCCCTTTGTTCTAGCATCCAGCCAAACTAGACAACATGGAGTTCCACAGTGATCATCCTCACCTCCAGCTCTTTGTATTTACTTCTTCCCTCTATTCTCCATGTGTTTTCCTTCTCCTTCAGATATTAACCTATGAATTGCCTCCACCAAAAAGCCTACAATATTGACACAAACCTGGGCTTGTATCCCTTCTGTGTCTTCCCGTAAGTGCTGTCTTATGCCTGTCATTGTATGTATGACTCTGTATGGGAATTGCCTGTTTGTTTTTTCAGATTATAGCATACAGTTGTTGAGGGGTGGACCGTATCGTCTTTATCTTGTAATTCCAGTGCTTGTCCTAGTACCTTAGCACATGGTTGCTGAATACACAAATGAAGAGTGAGAAATGCAGCTCTGATACTTAACTGCCATGATAATGAATTCAGTGTGCAACTATGGGCAAATTACATTTAATAGTAATTGCATATTGTACTTATTTTTCATTCTTATTAACACTGATAAACGTTTCAACTCATACCGACTTTCTCTTAGTTAACTGTGAAATCATTTAGCTAAAGAATATAATTCTTTCTTTTTCATTCTGACTTCTTCTGAATTTAAATCCGGATCCTCTATAGCAGGGGTCCCCAACCCCCAGGCCATGGACAGGTCCATGACCTGTTAGGAACCAGGCTGCACGGAGGAGGTGAGTGGCAGGCAAGCGAGTGAAGCTTCATCTGTATTTCCAGCCACTCCCCGTTGCTCACATTACCACCTGAGTTCTGCCTCCTGTCAAATCAGCAAAGGCATTAGATTCTTGTAGGAGTGAAAACCCTACTGTGAATTGCATATTCAAGGGATCTAGGTCACATGCTCCTTATGAGACTCTAATGCCTGATGGCATGTCATTGTCTCCTATCTCTTCAAGATGGGACCATCTAGTTGCAGAAAAACAAGCTCAGGACTCACCATTGATTCTACATTATGATGAGTTGTGTAATTATTTCATTATGTATTACAGTGTAGTAATAATAGAAATAAAGTGCACAATAGATGTCATATGCTTGAATCATCATCCTGAAACCATCCCCCAAACCCCCATCTGTGGAAAAATTATCTTTCACATAACTGGTGCCTGGTGCCAAAAAAGTTGGGGACTGCTGCTCTATAGCTTCTGCACTAGAATCTACCAATGAGTAAACTCTAAATCAATAACTAGTTTTAAAAGCATAACAAGAATATGTGCTGGCTGGCTGTAGTGGCTTATGCCTGTTTTCTCAGCACTTTGGGAGGCCAGAGCGGGTGGATCACTTGAGGCCAGGAGTTCAAGACCAGCCTGGACAATATGGTGGAACCCTGTCTCTACTAAAAATACAAAAATTAGCCGGAATGGTGGTGCATGCCTATAGTCTCAGCTACTCAGGAGGCTGAGGTGGGAGAATCACTTGAAACTGGGAGGCAGAGGTTTCAGTGAGCCAAGATCGTGGCACTGCACTCTAGCCTAAGCGACAGAGTGACTCCATCTCAAATGCAAAACAAAACAAAAAGAATACGTGCTAACAAAACAAAAAGAATACGTGCTGACAAAACAAAATCTAAAAGATAAAATTGTATTACTAGACTGTTAACATATTTTGTTTCCCATTAAATGTGTGACATGCGAAGATGTTTATTAAATGAAAATATTTTTGGATTATGCATCAAATTCCATAGCCTCTATAGTTAGTGCCCAAGGAACTGTTTTCTTGACAACTTTGCTCTAGGAGTCGACAGGATTTTGTGTTTTTGAGTGTGTTTAGACCACAGAAAACAAAGATGTAAGCATACAATGGGCCCACATTCAGAAGCTATCTCCTCAGGATCAGAGGCTGCATCCAGAGTATGCATACGTGTGTTTGTCACAGATCCTCTACCAAGCTTAATGGAGAGATAGTGGGAGATAAATGTCCATACTAATCTTCATCATGTAGTTAGAAAGAATTGAAACACTCATCCAGCCTTCTAACTTTTTAACTACATCTGGATTGTCTGGCTCCTACCTTAACCAATTTTTGGTTACTGACAAGGCATGGCACATCCTAAGTTCCAGGGAGCCACAAAAAACAAAGACAACACTATAGCACACAGGGATTTGAGAGGTACCTGAAGATCTCTGGCTGGAAAGTTTGGTGAGATCCTTTTCCTACATGAGGCCAGTCTTATCAAATGCACAGGAGCCAACAGAGAGAGTCAAGGAAAAATGAAGAAACAAGGAAATACATTCAAAGTAAGAAAACAAGATAAATCTCCAGCACCTGAGTGAAGTGCAGATATGTAATTTATCTGATAGATATTTCCAAATAATGGTCGTAACAATAATCACTGAGGTCAACATAGCTTTGCAAGAACAAGCTGAGAACTTCAAGAAAAGGAAAAACATTATACAATAATGTCAAACAAATCATAGATCTAAAGTGTACTGTAACTGAACTGAAAAAAATTTAATAGAGGTGTTCATTAACAGAATCTATCAGTGAGCTTTAAGACTGGTCACTGAAAATTATCTAATCTGAGGATCAGAAAAAAAAAGATAATGCAAAAAGGGCGAAGACAACTTTAGAGAGTTATGGGACACCGTCAAGCAGGACCACTCTCACATTATCGGCATGCCTGAAGGAGAAGAGAAGAAGAAAGGAACAGAAAAATATTTAAAGGAATAATGACATACTTATCAAGCATGGGGAAGAAAACAGAAAGCCTGGTCCAGAAAGCCCAAAGGAAACCAAATAAGGTGAATCCAGGGACTCACAACAAGATATACTATAATGAAATTGTCCAAAGTCAAAGACAAAAAGAGAGTGATATTGTTTGCAAACTTGTACCCTCCAAATACTGTGTCAAGATTTGATCCCCGACGTTGGAAGTGGGACCTGTTTGGGTCATGGTGGTTGATCTCTCCTGAATAGCTTTTTGCCCTCTTTTCACTAATGAGTGAGTTCACACTGTATTACATGAAAGATGGTTGTTTAAAACAGTGTGGCACCCCTCCCTTCTCTTCCTACCTCTCTAGCCATGTGTGAAATACCTGTTGTCTCTTCACCTTTAGCCACAAGTAAAAGCCTTCTGGGTCCCTGACCGGAAGCTGTGTGGATGCCACTGCCATGCTTCTACAGCCTGCAAAACTGTAAGGCAAACAAACCTCTGTTCCTTATAAATTATCCAGTCTCAGGTATTTTTTTATAGCAACACAAAAATTTGTGTTTTTCTGTGTTGCTCTTTTCTGTGTTATTCTGTGTTGCTAACAGAAATTAGCACCAACGAGTGGGGTTTTGCTTTAAAAATACCTGATAATGCAGAATTTGCTTTGGAACTGGGTAATAGGCAAAGAAGACAGGAAGATGAGGAAACTTGTGGAACTTATTAGACCTTGGTTAAGTGGTTGACCAAAATGATAATAGGAATGTGAACAGTGAAGGCCATGCTGTTGAGGTACATAAAATACAAATTTCAAGAAGTGGCAGCACCATTTTGCATTCCCACAAGCAATGAATGAAGTTTCCTTTTGTTCCAGATCCTTGCCAGCACTTGATGTTGTCAGTCATTCTAGATTTTGGTTATTCTAATACGTGTGCAGTGGCATCTCATGGTTGCATTTCTCTGAGGAAATATTG